TGAAACACCCACTCATCCAGTATGTTATGTTTGTTTCTCATGGCATTACACTGAACCAACACTACTGTCTGCTAGCGCCGCAGCGCTTGCGTTAGGCAGTGAGAAAAAACGGTCTTGCATTTGGGTGTTCTGTCTCAGTATGAAGATGCGCCTGCCCACGCAGGGTTCAAACTTAACCAGCTTTTGACAAAAACCGGCATAACAACTACTTACCACCCAATTCCCGCCTTAACTAGCCCCCCTTTTATGTAATCCGGAGTATAATATTAGGATTAACTGGATATGCCAGGTACTGCACAGTTTCAGAATTATTTTTTGGGGTTTAACAGACTGAAATAAAAAAACTAACGTTTAATTTAAAAAAGGAGGCTGACATTTTATAAATTATATGGTAAGTTCAGTTAGATTACATTAGATCGAAGCAGTCATTGCATTTTTTGTTGCTTCTAGCAGACAAGGCTGATACAAGCATTTTGGACTCTCTGATCTTGATCCTTTGACAGATTATTTGGCAGAAAAAACAACAGATTTACTTGCCGAAATTCAACCGCAAGGTATTTTTGTGACCCTGTACGAAGTGTCAACGAAAAAGAAAGGAGCAATTGGAATGGACACAAGCGACTTTCCTACGGTGATTAAACAGCCATAATTCATTCGCAGGTGGCCCTCAAGATTGGACGTCTAGGCACATTGTGTGAAGCATTTTACACCAATCATTCCTTCATATAACCTGCAGACTTTCCATCTTGTCTACTGACACGGCGACTGCGCAGAATGTGCGAACTGCACAAATCAGGATTTCACTTGGCCTTTGAACTTTGAATCTGAAACTCCCACTTTGCGAGATAGAAAAAGTCTAGGTGACACTGGAAAGGTGAGCTTGCGAATCTAGACGATGCAGGCAGTGTAAAGCTGACAAGTTAGTTCAGATAATTATGTGCCCTTGGCTTAAAGAAGGAGTATGTGGGTGATTTTTATGATGTCGATTTAAGGCCACTCTGACTAGAATTCATCCATCCTCCATAAGAGAAGGAGTTTGAAGCGGGGAATTGACCGGAAATTATCGCATGGGAAGTGTTGCGAAATTGGGTGATGAGTCAATTAATTACGAAGGCAGGTCGTAAAACTCACTGACTTCCTACACTGGGAATTAAAAAAACCCTTATCCGGTAGTAAGTAAGTACACATTACATGGAAAAAAAAACAAGTGTGCATGCTCTCCTCGCAATCACAAAACACACTAGTTGGATGGCTCATAACAGAACGGATTTATACGTTGTATCTGCCAGTAGGCCGTCATTTAACGCTACTAAACTGAAGTAACAACTGGGAACCTGCACGAGAACTAGAAGAAAACCTAACGTTTAATTGTACTATCTAACGTCTAAAGCCTAAATAAGAGAAAACTTATTTGTCCTTACTCCCCTTTGCATTTTGCCCTCTACCAGATGCTGCTAGAACTATATACTTCTCTGCGTGAGGTATCTTTACAAAGCCAGAAGTCTCAGGGACAGCAACCGCTTTACATCAGACAATTTTGCTCCCTTTATTCAGTAGCAAATATGCACGGGTCCAATTTTCTATCAGGTGTACGGTATGGACTCTAGACGATGACATTAAATGGGTTCAAAACAGCAGCAATTTCGCAATCCTTTGGCTTTCTCAATTGAATATTCTTTTCCTGTTTCTATGCTTGCCTAGTTAATCGTCACCTGTTTTTGATCTCTACTAGCATACTTGAAGCTAAGTTGTTTTTCGAAGAACGACAGGCAGGTTGTCACACATACCAACCTGACCACTTTGACTTTCTTTAATGTAGAAAGGCACATACCAACATGACTTTAGCGCTGTATTTTAGAAATCGCTTCCCTCAAACCCAAACAGCGATTAGATTACTGACACGAAAAATCAGTCGCCAGCTGGCACTGAATTCCTCACCCTGAAATTTCAATTGTCAATAAACAACATTTGGCATAAAACAAAATCCTAAATCGATTCCCGGAATATCTAACTGAAGATGTTTGTCTGCCCCAGCTCAATGACCCCTCAGAATAAAGTTCCGGTAATTTCTTCTGACATCCGTCTGGAAACCATCAAACAGAAGACTTTAGGCATTTCGTTAACAGTTGACGGTATTTCTAACACATTTTAAAGTCCGGGGAAGGAGGAAGACGGTTGGAGAGTGCCCACGTAGCATCGAAACGGAGTTTTCAAAAAATAAGTTTTTTCCTGTAAATTCGGTGGTTATCTGTTAACTAGCATCTCTTTCACATCATTTGTGTGGTACTTTAAAAAGTTCGTCTGACACGATCGACTAATTTACAGACCTCAGCTCCTTAATCTCAGAAGAGAGGGAACCTGAACGAAAGGTGTCACTATCAAGCAAAATTTAATATATTCTTTCCCTGAGGAGTACAGGCTGAATCTGTATAGAGACGATGTCCCATTCACTTTTAACGCTGAAATAGCACTTGAAAACCGCCCAAACTTTGTCATCATAAAAATCTTTATACTTAGTCACATAAGGCAACTCCTTTGGTATCTGAAGCATAATGACTTCGTCAGCTTATCCTGTTCTTCAAATCATAATGACAGCCTAAAAAACGTCGGCCAATCACATAACGCAAAGTGGACAGCCTCCTGATTAACCTACCATAGTGTACAGCAAAAGGTCATATTTCGAAAACAAATCGAATGAGCTACTGTACTTCCTGTCTGCTAGGAGTCTGCAATGACAGCTCCCTGTAAAGCTAAGTAAAGACAAAAAGTTTATTCTACTGTAAACTTGTCACGTCCTACCTATTGAAAAAGGAAATGTTTGGCCTTTGAGAAAGACCTGAAACTTGCAACATGATGAATCTCCACACTCTGAGGCTTTGCGTAGGGTCTCTTGCCGGGCTATAATCGCAGGAGACGTAACCAAAGCTTCCACATACTGTCCCGCTCGGCAGTAGGTTGCTGCCTTCACTTGATCAGCAGTCGCAGCAGTGTCTCATTTCCCCAGGGTGAATTTACATTCCTTTGAATTTTAGTTATTATGCGTTAAAATCTCGAAAATGTGACTTTTTATAGCGAAGAAGAATCACGGTTAGTAAGCGGGCGTAAATTCAGGTGAATGGGGTCACCGCCCTTTCAGAAATTGCCCAGTTTGACTCGGTCCTTAACTTCTTACCAATCCTGTAAGTAGGTTTCGAATAAAACCATGCGGATTTCATTTAATCCGGGATAACATTACTGCTTGGGAATTGACGTTGGTGAGTGATCCACTGTTGGCTTAAATTGCTCGAATCCTTGCATAGGTTCGCTAAATGAAAGCAGACAGGCAAGCAACTATCGAACTGAATTTCGCAGTCGGGTAGCTCACATTTACGCATTGTGTTACAATAAAAAATCTTCGTGAATGTCTATCGTAACTACGGGAGCGGGTTGGTCATCCAACTCATATGAAAGTACGTAGCTAAAAATTCCGTAGTTGTTGGAGTGTATTTTTTTACCATTGCGCTGTTTCACATTCACTGCCACAGGTTTATTTTTTTCCTTTTCACTTTTTTCTAATTTGTTCCGTAATTCCAAATAAACGTCCATCAAACGTGTGCGAAGACGTTTGAACAGAAAGGACATTTCCGGCAAACGATAATCACAGTGTATTACAACGTACTTCATGTATATTTTAGAAGAGAAACCGCTATTTCAAAAGACTGATGTAAGTGTTAAGGTCATAGGAGCAGAATTCCCTAACCGCACCAAGCCTAAGTATATGGGTCGGTAGAGCTGACTTGTATAGCCGCCTAAACAGGATATGGGGATAGGAACGTCCCGCTCACCTAAAATAGCTGGTCTTGCGATAAATACCAGTAAAGGTAAATATTCCAGTGTCCTACTCCTAACACTATCTCTAAGATAGAATTAAACCGTAACCCTTGTCCTAGATCCTACAGGTAACACGAACCCAAACCTTAACTCTTCCCATAGTCCTGACCCTACTTCCAACTTTGTCCGTAAACTTAACCTTAAACGTCATACTGACCCTCACTGTAAGCCTAAACCTCATTTCCCTGGACTATGGCGCAAAGCCACCTGTATTATGGATGGGTCTTATTTCCGTGTCCTGTTTTGGTGGCCATGCAAGTCATCCCAACCTACAGGTCATTTGAATCTGTAGTCTTGTTTACCTATTCCGGTGCTGGCGGAGTTTCTAAATGTGAATAACCTTTGAGAACATGAGTTCTCATTACCTTCTGTGAAAATATGGACCTGTAGCAGACTTATCGCTGCATGGAAAGTATCACCATCAAAAGGAACTTTCGACAATCAATCGCGCGATAAATACCAGTACTGG